ATGCGTAAAAGGTGGCGCATGATTCCATGTCTCTTGTGGCATGGACACAGTCAATTGGGCGTGTTGATGGCCTTCGGCTGGCGGATCGACAGTCTTGAATGGGCTAAAACTTGAGCCTATGGTCACGGAAGCGCTGGCGGAACCGGTCGAGTAGGTACATTGATTCACCTAGTTCAGAGATCAGGAGGTGGATAAAGACAGGCCAATGGGAAGGCAATCCTGTTCTTGCCATACAAGGTTCAGCAGTATTAGCGACCAGGATATGGAAACAGACAGACCAATGGGAACGGCAGCCCTTTTTTTGCCATGCAACCTGCTGGATGCTGTTCTGGTGCAAGTGCCACCCGCTCCTCCGCGTCGCTCTACTCGTGTTGTTTTTCGTGTTTTGTCTGTTTACGTAGTTCCAAGTTCTTTGTATGTTTCTGAACGTGGGCTCCTTACGCCTGTTATCATCGTAACTTCACCGATGGGTACTGTAGTTGGTCGATTCGTTGGTCTGAGGCTTGGCTCCAATGCCGTTGGTTCCGCAGGACAAGATATGGGTGAAAGATGGGCGGAAGGCAGGCGTTGTTGCTGTCATCTCTGTTGGTATGTTACCTTCGTCCGTATTACTGTACGTGGGCGTGTCTTTTCGGTTGTCGTGAGGGGAGGGGGGTTGGTGCCTGGGAGAGCATGCAAGGCATGCACGCGCTATCTCGGTCCCAAAGGGCGCCGCAGGCACTGCTGCTGTTTTGGCTTTATCTTCCTTCCTCCGTCGTTGCTAATTTTTTCTCCCGTTCGACCGGTGTATGTACCTGCTCTGTCGGGCCAGGGGAGGACAGACTAGTAGGGTGTTGGTGCTAGTCGCGTTGACAGGAAGTTGCGTAGTACTTTTTAGCGCAAGTCGAGAAAAAACGAGGACCTACCCAGGCAGGAGGATTTCAGCAGTATCTAGCGGCTTCGCAGAAATGATACAACAATTCGAAATTCCAGTCTCGGGAGGGAACTCAAGAGTTGCTCGGGGACCAGCCCACCTGGCTCGTGTCCAGAAATTGTATGGATCAAGGGCTGCTTGTAAGCTAGCATGTCTGGAGCTGCGCTGAAGACAAAATGTCGTAGGTGTTACCTAGCTGCGTGACGTCATCAACCCGAGTCACCCTACTCTTCATCACGAGTAAGCCGAACAGGAGCAAAAGGGACGTGTGTGTGAGGTTGATTCCGTGCACGCAAGCACTTGACTTTAGACGTGCAATCGCATTGTGCGTCATCCATCCGCGATGACCGAAGAGAGAAAGGTGGGATGCAGAGGCGCCGAACCATTCTGAAGCTGTTTTTGTCAGAATATGGGTTAGGTTCACTTCGTTTTCGCCACTGTGCAGTGCCAAATTAGTCGGTCAGCCTTGTATATTCTCCACCACAGACCGGGCGAGAAATATCGTGCACCAGTCAAACGGCGCCGGCGGGCGTCCGACGAAACACGGAGTAGCTGGACATCGATCGGGGCGTGCGTCGGAGGCGATCGTGCGGACCTCCATGATTCGGGCACAACAAATGTCGACGCTTGTTTCGTTTCAACTGTTGATAATAGACACCAGCTTTGGTTGGTTAGCAAGGCCAGATGGGCCGGTGTCTACGACTGACGACCCGCCGCAACAAACGGCCCGTGAAATCTACCCAGTCCACCCCCCCAACGGAATGGTAACGTTCTGCCGCACGCCACGTAGAAGAACGACACTTTCGCAACACAGAAGAAACCTCGACAACCTGCTTTCTCCCCTCGGGTTCACAGACCGAATACAGGAGCGCGAGCCGTTCGTCCCTACTCCAAACCGTGTGTGTGCACTCACGATTTGTCTAACGCCTTTTGTCCCGGCGACTGTGGCTTCATTCTCCTCTCAAATGACCGCAACACAAGGGCACACAACACCACAAAACAGATGTGTGTAATTGTAGTTAGTTCGTGCCAGCCATGCCAACAAGGGTTGTCTCTTACCATAAAACAGACTGCCAACACAACTGCCGGCTTCGGAACATAGCTCCCGTTTGCGATGCAATTGAAGCCACCGATCTCCGCCAGTACAAAGGCACAAATGATGCCACACCAACTGGCCGATCGATGCGGCTTGCCACCATGTCACTTCGTGCCATGGCTTCTCCCTTGGGTGCGAAATCGACCAAGCTGATTCTCCTGGAACGGAACACGCGCCGCTGTCTCCGCAACAGACGCAATAGCATCGAACAAAACTTGAAGGGCCCACGGCCTATATGGTCTACAAAACACCGGGTTAAACGCCAACAGCTTAATTCCCAGGTCAGCTTGTAACCTCTCACTCCAGTCGCGGTTCAACGCGTGTACTTCTCCACATCGCCGTGGTTGCAACGTCGAACTACTGTTGGACCGCGACGAGTTGTAAAACGGTCCAGCACACAGCAGCAGAGGTAAACTCATGTCGCGTGCTACTCCGCAAGTACTCCTGGCATTGATGCTGTAGCTGTACCGTCGAATCCTTCCGACCGCGCGATGTGCAAAAAACGGCACAGCGTCGGTTTTACGCCAAAGGTCTCCTCCGGTAGAAGAGCACGTAGGCGTGGGCGGTGCGCACCCTGGCCTCGGGCACCGGGCGGCAGTCGTGGTCGTCGCATACGTGCCAGTCCTGGGACATGCCGCTCCCCTCCCAGTCCCGAACGAAGGCCGTGTAGTGGCCGTGCCCCATGCCGCCCATGTGGTTGGAAACCGCGAACAGGTCGTAGAGCGCCGACATCGGGCGGCCCCCCTCCAGCGTCTCTCCTGGAAATAGGTTGAGGGGAGGGGGGGACGGGCGCCCCAGATATCGTTGTGGTCGGTGCCGAACTGCTACACGAGCGGACACTGCAGTCGACAATGCTTTGAAGGTCCTCCAGCGTCTCCTCAGACACAGGGGGTAAGTGATAGAGTGGGGGTCGACAAAGAGTCGGCACCACGGCCACAAAAATGCCAATGATGGGTGCCTAGGGGGGGGGGGGGAACTCATAGTCGTGCATGCCTTGTAGTCGTTTGACCATTGACCTCGCATCCCTACAAAGCCGGGACGGAGCACGCCGGGTTCTCACCGGACCAGGCTCTCACATCACCAAGCGCGAAGCGCCGTGAGATATTCGGCGAGTCGCATGAAGGGTGCGCTGCATCCTGCTAAGGGTGTTCGGCATCTTGTGCTTACTTCCTTGCGTACGGATGACAGCTGCGTATGAATTAATTTATTTTCTGGTGCTTTCACTTCCAGAGACAGTTGTAAGCACTGTGTAACTGCCTCGAGGGTGCTTGACCAATTTAACACAACGTGGTGCGATCATCCCCCTTGCGCGGAGTGAGGGTTCTCCACCCCACACAACATGATCTACTCGACCACCATCATGGTCACCGCCAAAAAAACAACAGAGGTGAAAAAAGAAACGGTAACCTGGTTGCCGAGTTCACGAAGTAGACTGGCTTGTTTTACAACGTCGTTGCCAAGCGACGAAAACCCAACCCCGATGGCAACAGCGATGGGTGCCTAGGGGGGGGGTCATGTAATGCAGGAAGGGTGGCGGTGGGGGGGACATCGACTTCATTATCTACGAATTTAGTAAAATTAGCACATGACCGGAGACAAGAAAGCAGCACGGCCGAAGTCGGTCGCGACGGTGCCATCCATTCACAACAAGCAACATACGACCGAAAGCCTTGCCCAACTGTGAAGACGCGCTTCATGGTTAGGATACTGGGGTTGGCAAAGACACAGCTCAGCAGGTTTGCTGTGTCGACCCGACTACGTAGCACACGGCTGGGCACCGCACTCACCGCGGCAGTAGGGAGACATGTCCAGGCCGTTGATGGGAAAGTCGACGAACAGCTCTACCTTGCCGCGGTTGGGCCCTCTGCCGCCATCGTGGCATAAAAACATACATAAGACAAGAAAAAAAAAGAAGGGCAGGGTTAATCTACAAGTCTACACAAAACAGGGCAGGGGTATACAACAAACCAGAGGTGTGTGACATTGGTTGCTTGGCAAATCGACGAAATGCGGTGGATCCGCGTCAAGCAACACAGCTATGTACTTTTTGCCCGCACACCTGAAGAATGCCGTAGGGATCCCCGTCAAAAAAAAAATTGTCTTCACTTCAAATCAGCGCTCACAGCACTAGTGCCGTTAACTCCAACCCGTGGTCACACAGAAGAGCCCCTCTCTACCCTCCCCTCTCGTGGTACTTTGCCTTCGATTTTTAATGCGAGAAAAGTTCAGCACTCTCTTCCTCTGTGTATACACGAACTAGCGCTATCCACTAGGCCAGGAGCGGAAGCGAGAGAAACACTCGCTTTGCAAGAAAAGCTCCCGTAAGCCGGGATTTGAACCCGTGACATGACCTCTACAAGGTTAGGAGGATACCAACTAGACCACCGGGGCGACCAGTCAATGGCCGCTTATGTTAGGCCCTATTTATAGCCGGTGAAATCGCTTGTGCAATATCCACGTTTTCTCGTAGTAAGGCCGTGTGCCCTGTTTCAGGCCGGTGTTTTGCCGTGGCACATGGTGACCTCAAACAGGGAACTCTGCTGTAGTATCATCCGCGTACTCACGCGTGGGAGAAGCGCTTGAAGTGTAGGATCAGCACCTCGGGAAGAGACCAGACCTGGATCGTCTTGACCGCCTTACAATTTAGTTTTCGCCGACCACAGGAAAAAAATATATATAACAAAGGTGTAGACCAGCACATGAAATGCAAACAGAAGAGCAATATTGGGGGGGGGCACAGGGAACGGTGAGGTGCCATAGAAGCATAAGACGGCTCAACGGAAAAGACGGGGTTGACTTATCCTGGAAAAGCCGCGAAAACCATGGCACAAGCGTTGAGAGGGTGTCCATTCGTGTCATGTTTCGCAACGAGATCTCATATTTGCATGGAGGAAAGGAGGCATGTTTCAGGCAGAACAAAGTGTAACCAACCACGCCAGTGAGGGAACCGAGAGTTGTGTCGAGCAAGCTCGTGGTGATCCATTGGTTTATTGTGTGGTGAAAGGCACAATGTAATGTAGCAGACACCGAAACGCCGCGGTGCTCGTGTACTTGGGGTCATCGTTCTACACACGCAAAAACGGAACAAAACCCCCGTATCGAGTTCTTGGATCGCATCCATCCCTGCGTCCAACTAATCGAATACAGTTATCGCACTCAGGCACTTGGCAGCGAAGAGCTTGAGAACTTGGCAGCTAAGAACTTAAGAACTTTGCAGCTAAAAACTTGAGCCTCGAACTACTCGAAATCGAATAACTTGAGCACCGTGACTGACGCCGGGTAACCCTCGTGGAACCCAGTTACATACAGGTTTTGGTCCAGACAAGATCGCGTGAAGGACTGTACAGTCCCGAGGGACGAAGGCTGACTTGTTTTCAGCATGTACAGTGTTCCCAAATGTATTGGGGACACTCTTCAGCAATTGTTCCAGTCATAGGCTACAACTGCATCTGTAATTTTATCAACAAGGGGACCCCGCGGCTTGGGAAATATGCGTGCAGCAAGTCAGAGGCCCAGGAGAGGCACACAGGCACCACGCAGCAGAATATCACACAGCATACCACCTGGCACAGGCACGTTAGACCAAGGTTTCCCACGCGCGTTTCACGCAGCGGAGTATAATCACGACTACGGTGCGGTAAACAGGCCTTTGAGTGCCGTGTCCCCAAAGTGTCCCCGTTTGAGCTTCCAGTACTAGGAGGCTACACTTAAACCTACCGAACCCAGCATCGGCCAAACCTAGACGTTCGTAAGTGCGGGCGCTAACTGCAGTTGTGTAGAGTCATCAACTCGACTGCCGGTCTTGGGGCCTGCCTGCCCATCGGCCTGGGTGTTCCAACCATGCAAGAAAACCACGAGCCGCCTCGTCAATCCCACCTGTCTGAGCTCCTTGCAGCGGCTGCAGTACCAAGAGTTATCCTTGCACAACGTCTCCGGAACAGAGAACTGCGCAACAAAGTGAAGAAGTTTTGGTTGGACCTTGGTGTCGATTGGTTGAACAGGTGTTGGTTGGTTAAACTTACAACTACATCATATGCAAAACGAAAAAGGCCGGGACGGAAGCAACACGCCGACTTCGAGGACACACTGTATAGATCACGACACGGGTAGGCTCAGGAACAAGCAAACCAACTACGTTCGAAGGTAGTACACATCGGCTGGATCTATAGTACCCCATGAAAGGCTTGGTACACGGTACATCTTGCAGGCGGAACGTCGATTCGGGGCGCATTACCATGTTGCATGAGGGCGTGTGTACGTGCTGGAGACCGCCATCTGCCGGCATATTCACTGTGTCTGTAGCCGCGCCCACCTCGTGTCTACCTGCCTGCGGCATTGCTCTATTTCTACTACATGGGCGCGATTACCTTTTGTAGGCAGTCCTGGAGGCTGACTCTCTTCGCACGCAGTGCAGTATCTTGCACGCTGCTCAAACGAAAGGTATCGAAATCGGGGGGGGGGAAGGCTTACTCATATTTTGCATGCCTTAGCGGTTAGACCACAGACCACGCGTCCTCGAGACGACACAACATTGGTGTGCACGTGAGTAACCATAGCCGTGCATGCCATATCGCATCACTACAAAGCCGGAACGGGGGGGTTGCGATCGCACACGGCCGAATCCTTCAATCCACCAGACCCCATGCCATGCAAGCATTGTATCAAGCGTGGATCGCCACAAAGGGGAGGGAGAGGTCATTGGCCCTCGAGGAGCCTTGAGCAGAGTATGTCCCCACGTGCTTCGAAAAGGTTCAACATGAAGGGGTGGGGGATGGGAGAGCCTCTCGCCGTGTTCTATCGACGCTCTTGCTGCTGCTCCTGCTGCTGCTCTTCATGTGCGCGGTGCAATTGTTTCTACAACATTTATGCTGCAGCCAGCAGTTTGCTGAAAAACATGCAAAAAGTGCACAATCCCTTCACCCACCTGCTGTGATTGTCCTCCCCGAAGCACTGGTGGTGGATCCTCGACTCGTTCAGATTGTCCAGCAGAAAGCCGCTCCATTCAAGCCTCAGGATGTCCAAGTCTTGGACTCTGCCGCCGCACAAGTCCTGCAGAATCACACCTTGCGGTTGTTGTTGTTGTCGTCGTCGCTGTTGTTGTGGCATCCGCCGGGACCCAACACATACAATCGTGATTGGGGGCTGTGGGATTGGTAGGCTTGTTTGCAGCAGCACTGCCTACCATTTCCGCTGTCGCCTTCCGCGATTCGCGCAGTCATTGCATGTACGATCAGGTATTTAAGGTATGCTTGGTTCAGTATCTGCCGTAACCAAGCACACCATCGTGTTTGGCGGCCGTGGTTCGTGGGCTTGATATTCAACGGCGCCATGTAGCTACCAGGGTTGTTGCATGATTGTGGAATTCAAGCAGATCACTACATGCCGGGGGCCAAGGATGTCAATCGTGTTTTGGCGATTGGTGGTTGGTGGGATGTTTTCCTCTCGAAAGTGTCATAATATGAATCCAAGACCACCACTCAAGGCCACAAATCACATGACCCGCCTCTGCTTGCTGTTGCTTACAGGGAAAACGTTTCAAAAACAAAAACGGGTCTGCACCTCCACCTGCTTCACTCGATGACACTTGCACTACGATAGAAAACACACGATTACCATCTTCGTGACATATGCATACGTCTATAGACGAAACTCACCAACACGTCCGCCGCTCGCACGGCGTCCGTCGGAGGGATGAACCGCCCCAAGTCCGAAACGACCACCCCGTTGTGAGCGTCCAGCCGGTCTTGCCACTGCATCTGGCGCTGGTCGTACTGTGTTTTGCAGGAGGGGGGGGGGGG